GTTTAAAATCAAGTTTGCTGTTACTGCATTTAAATAATCTTCTACAGAGTATTCAGGGTCTGTTCCTGTGAAAACCATTAAAGGTTTGTTTGATGTTATTGATGATCCTCCCGTAATGATTCTGCTGCGTTTGGCATTTGAGAAAAATTTGAAAGTTGGTTTCTTGTTATTTCATGTTGTTGGAGATAATATGGGAGTGGTATTTCATTTTGCATTTGTGTTGGTTGATACGAGTGTGCCATCATTGGATTTTGTTGTTGAATTGGTTGAAAAGATTGTGTATTATTAGGATTTTGTTGTTGAATTGGTTGTTGATGTTGTGCATCTATTGGTTGTGGAGAAAAATTCCTATGATTTGTACGTGTTTTCTGTATTCCTTGTCCACGATATTCTTGAGTATATGGTGCAAATATGTCTGGTTGTAAGAAATCATCATCTGAGGATAAGTAATCCATTTGATAAGATGTTTGTTTTTTATTTTTATTTTGTTGAAAAAATGGGTAATTTTCACTGTGATCCTGTGGAGGATTTGTTTGGAAATTTATTGAATTATATTGGGCCATTGGGTTATCCCAGTTTCGAGATCTTGTATATTGGTTAAAATTTCTTCGTGGTTGGTAATTGGTTTTTGATGGATGTGTATAATTATAATTGTGGTCTACGACGTTATTTTTATTGAATGTTTTGCGTGATTTTGATGGTATTGTCATGGGTCTATATGTTTGGTAATCCATATGTGAATATTTTGGAGCAACCGAAGGTTTAACGGTTGATTGCAAGGTTACTTGTGTTTGTGATGGATTTGTATTTCTTGGTGTTGTCAAATTTGGGCGTATTGGTGAAATACTTTGTTGTGTAGTTGTTGTGTGTACAATTTCTTCATTTATGAAGTGTGATGGTGTCTGGATATCTTGTTGAGTAAGATTCCTAGTTCCATTGAGGTTTTCGTTGTGTATGACTGTAGAGTTTAAACTATTATTTTGTGTATCGGGTAAAAATGTATTATAGTTTAATGGTGTTGCATCAATAGTTAAGGGTATTACTCTTACATAATCTCTTATGTAAGATATTGTACTTATTGCTTGACTTGAGATTGATTGTGGAAAGCTTATAAATGCGGGATGAGACCATTCGGGTTCCCAAACATAATCTGATTGTTCTGTGATAGCGGTATCATCATTCGAATTTTGGGGTCTAAAATTTTTTCTTGCTTGTGCAATTAAATCAATATTGTGTGTGAAATAATCTATTATGAACCATGCCAAAATTTTTTGTAGATCGTGTTTGGTATGTTGTGAAACGTCGTCTTTCGTGAAATTTTCTTTAATAATGTTTAAATAACTAGAGAGTAGTGTGATTTCATGTCGTACTCTTAAATGTTTAGATGTTTCTGTCGGTGAAACATTTGTTAATGGGATTTCGTTTTCTAATATCGAAATATAACTATATATTATTGCGAAAACTTCATTAGTGAAAATGGAGTTTGCTCTTTGTGAGTTATGGTATTGGATGCTTTTTATATATTCTGAAAAAACTTTTGAAAATTCTAAATCAAGATCGTCTGTTTGAATTGTATATTTCCTATGATTATGGTTTGGTGAGGTGAATTCTATGGAGTAGATTCCATACTGTTGTGTTATGTTGCATATATCTTTTAGGTAGTGGTCTATGATTTGTCTTTTGATCTTTATATCTGGGAATTCTGTTTTACATGGACTGATTCCGGGTTCAAATAAATTTAAGAGTAAATTTTTACAAAATATATGTTGTCCTCTATCAGTAGTTGCATCTACTATAAAAGGAAAGATTTCATCATCATCTGGAGTTTCGTCACCTGGGGTGTGCGTTGAACTCATTTTTTTGTTCGATGACTGTTAATATGTAATTATTAATGTGTCGAATTGGTTGATTCCAATTGTATAAATGTACTGGTTTGTGTTTATACTGCTTTTTTATTCTTCTTTTTCCTCTTTGTGATGAATTTGAAGTTGTTTCTGAGTCAGAGAAATATAATTGATCGTGAATTGGGCAATTTTTATCTATTGATTCTTTTAGTTTGTAAAGTTCGTCTAAACTGTTGGTTTCTGATTCTGAAAATGCGTTTCGATTTTTTGAAAATCTTTTTCTTGTTATTTGTCTTTGTTTCGTTATTATTTTTCTCTTTAGTGTTTGTCGTTTTGTGCGAATGTATCCAACTGTTTGTGTATGAGGTGTGATTACAAGGTCGTATTTTTTGTTATCTATTTCACAATTGTGTAAAACGATTGTTTGTTTATTTCCTAGGTTTTTAAATGACATAAGGTTTAGGATGACGGATGCAAAAGGGTATTAGGTGAATTCTAATTGCTTAAACTGTTAGTCCTTACGATTTTTTGGTTAGCTTAACCTGGGTCTATTTGTTCAGGGTTGGAGAGAAAAGTATATCTATTCCGAAGAATGATTTTTACTTTCTCGTGACTAGTATAAGTTAAGGTGTTAACTTACTTAATCTTACTTAGGGGTAGTGATTGTGTTCAAAGGTTGGAGAATAGTAAATCGATCCACAAGGTTCAGGTATAATTAGAACGCGAGTAGTTCGTTAGATACTACTTTAAACTTACTAAGTCTAAGATTTATCCTGTGTCTGGTAAGAGGGGGGGTCAAGTGAAGGATGAATAACCGAAGTTCTTCACTGTTTATCCTAATTTGAATGATTAGTTTTGTTTAAAAATTTCTATTAGTCTTAGGTCTTTAGAAAGGGTTGGACAGTGAATCGACGTTTGAGGTCGTTAGACACTAATTAAGTGGGTGGGGGAGAACAAAGTTGTTCTGTTTGATCCAAGGATAGGCCTTGATGATCAAGTTTGAAATTTAATTAAATAGAAAATGATTTAAGATCCAAGGATAAGCCTTGATGATCTGATTTTAAAATTAAGTGAATTTAAGTTTTAATAAAATATTAAATTTGTGTAAAGGAAAGATTTAGTGTTTTATGATATTAGTGGGTTTATGATTGCTGTTATGTTTTAGGTGATGAAGCTGGAACAACAGGATGATTTATGATTACTAACCATTTATTGTCATGCTACTAATTTTTATTTTTATTTTCCAATAAATATTTTTCAAACATGTTTTATATATTACTGCAGAGTTTTAGGGAAACGATCTGAGATCTTTTTATCAATCGTTATTGTATATTATTAATTTTGTTTAGCGCCGGAAATGATTTTGAAGATTAACTTCAAGGTTTTATGTTTGCAAATGGAAATCTAAATTCATTGCGAGTAGTATTCGAAATATAAATGTTTGTTCTGGCTTTTGCCGAACTATCATATAACTATATGGCAAGTTTCTACTTTGTCGTATGTCGTCTCTGGTTCGAGGTCTTCTTCCAATTCCGGGTAGTTCTGTTATGGTTCGGAATATTGGCTCTGATCTATTGAGTCGTAGAGACATTTCGATTAAATTATTGTCGTATAACATTTTGGAAATGTTTTTGTCTAATTTCTAATCTATTTTGGTTAATTCTAATCTATTAAGGTCTTGTTCGAGACTTATGGTCGCACCAGATGAGTTAGGACTGGAGTGTATAACTCATAGAGTAATTTCGGATAGGGTACACCGTCTGCTCGTCACGCTATCTTATTTTCGGCCGGATAGATTCGTGCAACTTCTTAGTCTAATACCGATCCTAATCTTACTCTTATACTATCTAGTCTCAGGTTGTTTAACTAGTCTCTGCTAGGCTCAATAGATCTAGGGTATACTGGTTTATTGCGGCTGCTGAAGTACTCGGGAGAGTGCAACTAATTTCTAAGTTAAATTCAAATCTCTCTGGTGCTGAAATTACAAGTAATTTCAGCACTTACAAATAAGTGGGTTGTTAGTTAGATGGATCATGATTGGTTAATATTAAATACTTTACATTGGTAAAATATCTAATTTATCCAATCATAAAATGTAGTTTAGATCAGGTTCCAAAATAAAGAAGAAATCTTTTCACCCGAAGTCAAATTTCTTCCAACTCTTAGTGATTTGAAGGAGCGCTGCAATCTCAATTGAGGTGGTTTTCTTAACAACTAATCTTGAGGGCGCCAAAAAAACGCATTTTTTTAATCAAAATTTCCCGAAAAGTTCCCAAAAACGTCGTGTTTTCGGCCTGTTTTTTCAAAAATTTGCCTGCGGCGCTGAAAATTTTACATGAAATAGGTTTCTTATAATATTTTCGGAGAGCTCAGAAAATCTAATGGGTCGACCTAATAAAAAAGGTCCTTCAATTTTTTTTTCGAAAAACGCCCCCTGCTTCTATGCCGCCCTCTGCGCACGCCAGTGCTTCTATGGTACTAATTTCCAGAAAACCGCCATTCGAGCTAAAAGCTTCCGTAGAAATTACTAGTCTGACAGAATATTTTAAATATTAATGATTAGTTTAATATCTATGCGAGGATTTGGATTTTTTAAACTATCTACGCAATGTTAGGCTATGTAAACTTAAAAAATGTAAACTTAAAAAAACTTCGATTCCAGTGACTAACGGTTTGGTTCCGGTGATTCATCGGAAAAGTGTCACGTGAAAAAATTTTTACAGCTAAGATTTAGTCGCAAAGGAATTCTGATGGAGTCGCGCCTTGTCTCAACATGATTACTTTTTTACGCGCCAAGTCGCGCAAAATTGCGACATATCTCTTACTGTCACGTAGAATAGCGCAGAATTTTTCGGTGCAAAATTTATGAATTTTAAGTTGTGTAAAAGTTTTTTCCTCAAAGCGTCGAGATGTTTATGTTTTAGATTGCAACGGCTGTGACGTACCAATTCCGAACGTGGGCTTGCTTAAGTAATGAACAGAAAAGTTTTTCATAATGATATAAAGTTCTGCATTTTTTTTGCTATTTTTTATCACTTGTTCTTGCATTTGAAAACAATTATACTATTTCTGATTTAAAAACAACATTGGAACAAAACATGCTTGTTGCTTTTTTAGTCGATTGGGGTTTTTGCTTAAATAAATTGTAGAGAATACTTTAACGCATCCTTCATGTTCCATTTCCGGTATGAGGAACATGTTGGCATCACAATGGAACTGCGTGGTTGGTATCTTCCTGCTTTCGTCTGTCTCCCGCCAGTAGCAGATGGTTATCTTTGTGATCTGGAAACATTGATTCGATTTGGTACATAAAATTTTTTCTGAGTGGTATCACAATTTTCACAAAACAGTTATTCATAGCTTAAAGCCGCTGAATCATTTAAATTTACACCAACTTAATGAAAGATAACTTCATGAATGGTTGCTAATCGTTACATTGCTCGTCATTTTGTCTGAGTACATATATCCCAAAAATGTCTAGAAGTTGGATTTCACAGGTCAAAAAACAGCTGAAATGGCTTCAAATTGATACATTCTCCAAGTGAAAAAAAAGGCTTGAAACGGGTTTTATTTTAAAGTTCAGCAGTATTGCTTGTAGAAGTTTTTGTGAACATTTAAAAGGTGAAAAATTTAAAAACTTCAGTTTATTCTGAGATACAGGCACAAAAAGCAAAACTATGATTGTGCCTAGTAGGGAATGAAGAATGAATTACGTTTCTTCTCCACGGCAGTAGTGAAGTTCATTGAAAAAATCTGATAAAAATAATTGTTCTCTGCGACTTTTCAAGCAATCAACTATTAAATTTGAGAAAAAGGTTTATAATAAGTTCGCATTTTGATGCGCTTACATACATGTTTTGACAGTTTCGTAAATTATCTTGTGTCTTGAAGGTTGCTTTTTAAAAATCGAAACTAATTTCACTTTAAATGTTGAAAAAGTAATAAAACTAATACTGAAGAAAAAAGTAATAAAATTTAAATAAAAATCTGACCTTAACATCCAATGTTTTACCCAGAGGCTCAAGTAGCCGATTGATCCAAGTGCCAGCACATATGATCAGCTTTTCGCCCGTAAAGGACTCCTTCTCTGTCTCAATGGTTATCACTCCATTCTCTCTGTTCTCGTCAATCGAAATAACTGGATTGCCAACTTTTAAAACTCCACCACGCGCAATGAATTGTTCCTGAATGTGAAAACTGCGCAATAGAGTGAAATTTAAGCCATTGGAATTAAACAGTCCATTAGCAAAGATATTTAAACAAAAAATGTATCTTTGTCGAAAAATGTATTAAACTTTTTTTTCTTTCAAATATCTAAATTCACGAATTCAAAACTCAACTCCAAGCTGCAAATGATTGGCATTTAAGATAATCAACTTCAAATGCTTGAGTTAAGCTGAAATTTTTTTTAAAACCAAAACAGAGCCGTTTAACTTCAACTTTGTGGTGGTATATTTTTGTTACTCCTAAGTTTATTTCGCAACTCTCGAATACATTGAAAAATCACCTAAGCAGTGAAGTTTCAATCGCAGACTTTAATTAACTTACTACTATAACCCGTAGGCATTTATCTGCATACAATGCTCCCATTGCAGACTCCTCGAGCACATTTTCAATCTCGGGTCCAAAAGTCATCATTGGGTACTTGATCATGGCTTTCTCTCTTGTCAAAACGGCATGTGGCACTCCATTGCTTCTCAGATTTTTCAGATCAGATTCGATCGACTGCCCTTTGGAGAAGAGCGATGTCCCACCCGTCCGACTGAAAAAAAAAACACAAAATGAAAAATTTTCAATTTTCAAATAGTCAGTTAAAAAAGTACTGAAAAAAGCAAAGACAAATTATTAAATATGATTCTGACCTTGATATCTAGTTTTTTACCCAGAGGCTAAAGTAGCCGATTAATCCAAGGGCCTTTTTGAATGCTCACTTGAATATGCTTACTTGAGTAATTTCTCCCCACTGGCTTGTTCCAGATGTTCCCATTCCAGATAGGCTTCCGGCATCCAATCCGCATACTCTGACAAACTTCCGTACTGGTGTCGGATCACTCTACTGCCTCCATGGGAGCTGCCGTTTTCATGACCCAATGCAAACTAAAATCACATTTTTTTGAAAAAAAAACAACCAACAATTTCGATCTTATCTCAAACATGGTCATCGCCTTTTCTTTTTTGAAATTTCAAAAAATCTAACAAAGAGCAATTGTCATTTCTTCAAAGACAAAATAGATCAGGGGCGGATTTAGGAGGGGGCGGGGATGGAGCGGACGCCACTCTTTAGGGATTCGACCCCGTGCCGACCCAAAGGGTCCCATTTATACTATTTTGAGATATAAATTTTTGGTGACGGACCCTAAAAATATTCTAAAGGCGCCTTTGGCGATAATATATACTAAATTTGAGGGAGGAGCGCGCGGCAAAAAAACGCAATTATTTGTTCAAAGTTTTCCAAAAATTGCCTAAACACGCCTTTTGGCCCGTTTTTTCAAAATTTTGCCTGCGGCCCAGAAAAAGGTTCGACAAATTTTTGGAATGTCCCCCTTCCCCTCGAGAAAATCCTAGATCCACCCTTGAAATAGATGGAAGAGAAGAATTTTTAGTAGATATATTAAAATGGCAGTTTTTGCAAATTTCGTTCAATCTTTTTAAGTTATTTTTATATGAACATAGTCCAATGGTGTTTTTGGTTCACAGTCAGCGCCAAATAGATTAATTATTTGAAATATCTTAACAATCTCAATTCACTGATTTCAATTTAACCCAATAATGGGCAATAGTATTTACATGGGCTATCACTTAAATAATAATATGGAGCAAAAATCTGGATCAGATCAGTTTTTCTACCTGCTCAAGAAGGAGAGTTCTTAGTTCTGATTTTTGCGATTGGTAAGCTGCACTTGAGCCCACAATCCACGCGCCCAAAACGATCACATCATACATATTAGGTACTTCTGCCATAGACATTAAGCTTCCACACTTTAGCTGCAGAATGACTGGTCCACTTTACGGGTCCAGATCAAAATAACTGCATTCAAAAGAGGTTAAACGCTTATCATGCAATGGTTTTATCATGCTTAGCTCAAATAAGCTTATCAAATCAGCAAACAGTCGACTTTCGCAGACCCATTCCGAAGCTTGTTCGGTAGAGCGCTCTGTTCATTTCAATTTTTATAGAAAGTCTATTTTTGGAAAATTTTATCCGTTTTTTAAAAATTTGATTCTGAGATTTCGAAAATGATTTTGTAAAAAAGTTAACCGATTGATTTTTTTTGAGAAGATCATTTATAAGCGTTTCTAAGCCTAAGTTTAAGCTTAGAAACGCTTTGCTGTTGTAGGAGACAGTGTTTTTTAGGCTTTTTGACATCAAAACTCAAACACGATTCATTGTTAAAATGATTTAAGACCGACCTAAACAGAGTTTTTGATGTCATTTTAAAGCATACACTGACAGCTTTCCATATAAGTATACGCCAAATTCAAATATAAAGAGCAAATTCGCGCGTAAAAATAAAAATAAAATTGACCGGAGGGACAGAATTAGGGACCCAGAATTGGGCGTAACATGACAGGAGTGCGAAGGGGGGGGTTGCACTATTTTGAGATGTGGTACTGTGTAGTACTGTTGCCAGAGTAACCTTGGAGAATAAGTGGTATTAATATTCTGTTATGTACTGTTATTATTATTCAAGGCCATTTATTCAGGCCGAACGCAACTGTCATTTGGACGGTTGCTATCTAAAGAGACATATGAAAAGATAAACATGATCTCTAAACAAAAACCAAGTTTCACAAAGAGTTAAATTACAATTTATTACTCTTTGGTTTTATCACTAACTAACACCCATAGCATAGGAATATCACATGGCGCAAACAGCAGGATTTATGTCCCAAGACAATAGAACGAATATGGGAATTCCTGTATTTTGGACAACCTTGATTTTCCGACCCTCCGTGGAGTTTCAAGATATGGCTAGATCAATTTTTACTGGCTGTTACAGTGAAGGAGAGTTTGAATCCGGAACTATTGTTAGAAGAACCAAAGGACGTTTTGTTGGAACCGTTACCCAGGCCGGAGACTCCACGAGAAGATGAGAATGCACAGGCAATTGCTGAGAGAGAGGCCAGCAACCAACTCCCACGGGACAGAATTCTTCTGGAAAACGATGAAAGAAGAGCTAGAGGACCAAAGGTTGGACACAACGTATATTATAATGAAGTACAAAAAAGGGTAGCCTCTAGATTATTTCTAGCGTTGGGAACAGAAGGGAAAAAGAAATTTGTACAAAAGAATCCGCATGTGGAACTTTGAAAGTTAGAATTTCGAGAGATGGTTGCTTTGGCAAAGATTGCATTTGACAAAACACAAAGCGTTACGTATGAGCGTTACAAACTGTTTAATCGAGCTCAAGAAACAGGCGAAACATTAGAGGCCTTTCATGCAGCATTAACTGCCCAAGCAGCCAGAGCGGAGTTAGGAACACTCGAAGATGAACTAGTGCGTGATTTCTTCATATCGAAAATGAAAAATGTGGTATTACAGGACACATTAACATTTGAAACATTCTCACCAGAGGAATTATTGAAGAGGGCATTGAAGTTTGAACAGAGTAAACAGACAACTCAGGCATTTCTAAAAGCGAAATCACTGACTGCAAGTGCAGGTCAAGTTCACGGAACAATGAAAATAAAGCAAGAACCAATCATGAATATTGGTAATAAGAATGATAATTACAGGAGACAATCGAGCAATACGTACAAAAAGAAATCATACTCGGATAAAAGAGAGGGGAGAAATCCTATAGATTTGAAAACGTGTAATCGATGTGGTCGTTTATTTGGAGAAGGACATCTGAAGAAATGTCTCGCCATGGGAAAAAAATGTAAAAATTGTTCTAAACCAAATCATTTTGCAAAAATGTGTAAGTCGCAACAAGTAAACGAGATATCGGAAAAATCATCTAGCTCAGATGAAGAGTGTAATTTGATTCAATCATTTGACTCGTGTGATGAGTTTGAAATAATGGCTATCGAATCTGAGTTGTCGTCGTTGGAACAGATAGACGAATACATAAAACAGAAGGACCTACAGAAGGTCGATATTCGCAGGAATACCCGATCGCAACAAATAAAGTCATTGAAAGCTTTGGTGAGAATAGATCATCAAATCATAAATATGACCATTGATACCGGAAGTCCAGTATCGTTTCTTAATTGGACAACCGCAAAGCAAATCCTAGAGACTTCGAAAAATACGAAGTTCACTCCACGGGAGAATCTAAATTTGACTACTCAATTTGTGGAATACAATAAACAGCCAATTAATATACTGGGCGCAATCACCACCACCATCCGTTCGGCAGGGTGGGAAGAAGTGCGAGCATCATTCTTGATCACAGAAAGACGCACGAGATGTATAATGGGGCTGGATTCACACAACACAGAAGTTGGCACCTAAAGACAAGACGAGGTTTGATGTACTACTGTGCGAACAGTCAGAAGGTTGGAAAAATAAATTTTATAGTAAATTTAAAGACCTTTTTGATCGTTGGGGGTGTTCGAAGAATCATGTTGTCAGTACAAAGTTCAAGTATCCACTTTGTCCATTACAAGAAAAAGGGAGACGAAGCCCAATACACATACAGGAGAAGGTGTATGAGGAAATGGACAAACTGTTAAAAGAAGGGCATATAAAACGTCTGGACAAATGTACTAGTGATTGTGTTATAGCGCCTATTGTAATAACAGTGAAAAAAGATGATTCCATAAAATTGGACTTGGATGCAAAACCCATAAACAGACAGTTATTCAAAAATAAATATCAAATGCCTAATGTTGATGAATTACTGGAAGGGGTAGGCCAAATAGTCACAGCAAATACAAACGGCACGCTGTATTTCTCAGTACTAGATTTGAAGTACGCGTACAGTCAACTCAAACTGACTGCAGAGACAGCTAAACAATGTTATTTTAACGTCATAGGAGGACAGGCTACTGGAACATACAGATTTCTGACCGGATTCTATGGCCTGGCAGACATGCCGGCGGAGTTTCAAAAGGCTATGGATAGAACGTTAAGTCATGCCGAAAATACATTCTGTTTCCTGGATGACATACTCATTGTGTCTAAGGGAAGTGAAAAAGAACAAGAAAAATTGAAAATTTAACGTACTGGAAAAATTAGACAAAGAAAACTTGGCACTAAAATTATCGAAATGTGAATTCTTTCAGAATGAAGTAAATTGGCTGGGAATAAGTTATTGCTGAACGGTATTTCACCAAAAATAACAAAAACGGAAGCGATATTGAAGCTTAGTCCGCCAACTTCTTTGAAACAACTCAGGTCATTTCTGGGTAGCATAAATCATCTGGCCAAATTCATACCCAACGCAGCTAATTTGACTGATAAATCTAGACCTCTACTGCGAGAAGAGAATGAGAAGATAAAACTCAAAAGTGTGAAAATTCAGTTTAAAAAATTTGAATGGGAGGAAAAACATTCGGAGTTATTCGAAGCGATAAAAGCAGCGGTTGCGAACATAACCAACATCCACTATTACGATCCTAAGTTGGCTACTAGGGTAAAATGTGACGCCAGCCACAGTGGACTAGGTGCATCGTTGGAACAACAAAAAGTGGAGGGGGAGTGGATACCGATCGCATTCGCATCGAGATATTTAACACACAAGAAAAAAAACTCCACAAATGAGTTGGAACTGCTCGCAGTAGTATGGTCGGTTGACCGATTTAAACACTATTTGTTGGGAAAAGAATTTGTGATAGCCACAGAGCGTAAAGCACATGTTTCTGCCCTGGATGAAAATAAGTCAAATAAAACCTACCAATCTAGGCTAACCTGATGGGTAGACAGACTATTACCCTATCAATTTAAGGTTATTCATATACCAGGGAAAGATATGGGGATAGTAGATTTTTTGTCTAGAGATCCGAAATGTGAACCGTGGCCGGAATCAGTATTGGATGAAAAATTTGTAGTCACATCGATTGAAAGTTTTCATAAAGCTCTCGACTGTTTACCCCAATAATCCCTAAAAATTCGGCAAAACCACTTCCACTGTTGACACAGCCGGGGCAAGAACTGCAATTAGACTATGCAGCCCCGCTCGAAGATCATAGGGGAAAGCAGATATATTTATTGGGTGCTATTGACAGATACTCTAAATTTCCATCAGTTAAGGTCACGAAATCTACAGGGGGAAAATCAACAAAAAGTTTCTGCGTACCTACATTGACACACATGGGATACCAGAATCGATCAAAACGGATCAGTTTTCAGGATTTAAAGGAAAAACAATGAAAAAGTTTTGCACAGAGAATAATATTTCTCAAAAATTCTGCCCAGTCGGTGATCATCGAGGATGTGACTTGGTCGAACGAACAATACAAACTATTAAACGACGATTGGGTGTAATGCTTCTCGAGGATAATGTACAGTCGATTAAACCGTGTCTGAGCACAATAGTTAGGGATTTAAGATGGAATAAACAAAAAACGATCAAATTGTCACCATTTGAAGCGCATTTCGGTCGATTGCCAAAAACGAAATTTAAAATTGTCGGAGATAAATTTGTTAATGATTCTGACCGTTTAGATAAAGAACATTTGGAAAGATCGGCGATAACAGCTTCGCAGTTGAAGAGACGCATTGATCAATCGAGGTACAATGTCAAAATTATCCGAAAAGGTCAAAATAGTCGGGACGTCAGCCCACTATTTTTGCGTAATACTGCGGCAGCTAAAGAAAGGGCCAGAGCAAAAGAACTGAAGCAGCTACTAGAGGCCAATGCGCGTTGCAATGCCACGCGTAGGGACATTTCAGACAGCGAGTTACGAAGAGCCGTAGACGAGACCAGCACAATAAATCCCGAACTGAGAAAAGAGCTATTAGACTCATGGGAGCGAGGATTTATTGAGGATAAACAGCCTACAGTAACTGAAAATTTGTCGGGTAGCTTCCTTCGCAAACACCAACAGAGAAAAAGTGGAAAAGCCCTAACAATACTTCTAAAAGAGAAAG